GCTCCCCTGATATAGCCAATATGCCGAAAGCAGTGAAATGCCACTCAGTTCACCAACTTCTATATTATTACCACTCTTTTAGTCCATGACTGTAAATCAGCCGTCAGGACATTTTAACTTCATTAAAACATGAATCAAACTTCTGTAGTGCAGTGTCTGAAATGAACTCTTTGCTTCACAAGCTTCGGACAGACTTTAGAAGAGACTATTCATTGCAGGCACAGGATTTACCAGCTTTTGGCTTGTGGCTGACAGCAGTTTCCTTCCCTCAATTTGAGTTTTTTCAGTTTGGTTTCAGTCAACGTGTTTCCGTTACTGTAGCGATGCACATGCTAAAGACATTTCTCTACATCTCCCTGCTAATCGTTCTGCTTAAAACTGTTGGAGATGATAATCCTTTCCGGAGAAAAATTACAGCACAGAAACGCAGCTTGGAGTGAGATGATTAAATATAAAGACATTTAACTGCACCACCTAGTTTATCTCTTTGTCTTTCCCTCCTTCCACTTGTCTGTCTTTAATTCATTCATAAACACACACAACCTCCGTGCTGTGGAGGAGGCAGGTTTTGACGAGCTTTGAAGTAATGACGGCCAAGATAAGATTCTTATTTCACCACTGGGGGTGGGGGGTGGGGGCAGTACTGTAATGAACTGGCTTTCCTGTGTTATTCCTGTGAACAGACAGGGAAGCAATCAGATTTTTCCTACAGTCACTCACTTAACATAAACTTAAAAAAAGCTGATATAAAACACAGCTGGCTGTTATTCCTGGTGCTAAGTGCTTAAGTACTTGCAAGAAATTATGGTAGTTGCTTTGGGGTTGATGTTGGACATTGTAAAACTATTGAAAAGATTTTTGAAGTCCAAATAAGTGGATGTGAAAGGTGTTTTTCCTTGTCTTAAAAAAAGGCCACTCACCGACTCTTGCAGGAGCATTTTTTAAGCAACATATCAACCTAATGTAGGTCAGGAAACAGACACACTCTGCAGTGTGAGACATTGGGCTGAAATGTTGTGCAAGAAAACCATGTTGGCTCAGCAGTCTTATTTTGTCTCTGATGGTAGAGAATCCTCTACATTTATTTATCTAAAGTACTTGGAAATTACATCCGAATCTGAATTAGTCATCACTCTTTTTAAACCCTGTGTCTGAGTATTTTACAGTACTAAGAACAGAAATGCAATTATCCAGGAAATAAAGTCTGTGTTCATCTTTTTTATCCCTTACCCCACTGAAGAGGATCAGAATTTATTATTTTAACATTTACCTACTTTAATTTCAAACTATATTTAATTGTTTGCCTGACAATGATCAGAAGTGTTCAGTGTAGGGTTATGTTCCTGGTGTAAACCAAGGGTACTACATATAGTATAAACATATAATACAAATAAAAACCTAAAGTAAAATGCATAATGTACAGTATACACCAACGTAAATAACAACTGTACAGTGTATTGAAACAAAAATGGTCACATGAAGTGAGGCGAGTTTGTAAAGTGTGTTTTATGATGCAACATAGTCACACGAGCTCACCCTTCCTTTGAAGTTCTCATGAAACAGCATTGTTACTTCCTTAATGTATTTTCTGTTGAAACAGATCACTGGGGATTGGGAAAAAATGTTTGATAACTTTATTGGTTGGATGTTTCAGTCATACCCACAAGTGCAGCATGAGGTCACCACTGAAGAAGAAATTTCCAGGTTGTTCAAGGCATTTCATGAGACGTTTGCTTTATTTATACAAAAGAAGTTCTGATGTCAGGTGTGGACAGAGGGGGGAAATAGCAGCATGTGAAAATCATTTTTTTAGATTTATGATTGTCTTCCCTTGGCTTTTATTTGTTCATATACAACTTTGAGAGACTCAAAACTTCAAAATCAATAATCCATCACAGCAACCTCCCTTTTGTTGTGATTGTTGGTAAAAAATGTATTCATACAGTCAGCTCCCTTTACTGCTCCTCCTGGATTGCATCACAATTTGCATCTCATGTTTCTGCAGAGGTCAGAGAGGTGACACTTCTCTCCAGCATGACTTACTGTCACTACAACATTAAGTTGGATACCTACCAGTTTAGTATTATCTACAACAAGCAGATAAGAGCTGTAAAGTCACAGCACCCTGAACAATGATACTGAAATGAAAAAAAATGCTGAGGAAATAAACATTTCCTTCCTTAACTCACTCATCATTCCTGGTCTGTGTCAAATGTAATCCAAACAGCTAGAGGCCAGAACAGTGTCCACATTACTTTTATCACCACAGCTTGTGTTTTAACTGTTATGCTGTGCAGAGGGAACACTGCAGTGCAATGCAGATACGTGGTGAACACTGCCGGCTTTGCCGCCACTAGTTGTGTTACATACTGTTTTTGCATAACAGTAGAAAGGAACTAACAGTAGAAAGGAACTATGAGAATAGTTTTTAAAATAGCTTTCTGTTGTTATCAGGCTGCTAAATATGTTTTGCATTGTAAATGTAAATGGTGTTTGAATATCAAGAACAGTCTGAATGTGCATGATAACCACGCCACCTGATCAGCTTTGTATTTAAATGGCCTGATCAAAATCATATTCTGGCGTGCAGAGGCTGAGTGGCATGAAAATGTGATTGACTCGTCACTACTAATACTTCACTGTTGCTGAAAAGATTAGTCAATTAACTGATGAATCGATCAGTTGAGGATTAAATGCCAATAAAATTGATAATCATTCACTCTTTAAAGTCATTTTAGAACCAAAAATATCAAATTATTTTTTATTATTCATTAATCTGCTGATAATTTTATTTATTTATTGCTTTGGTCACTAGAATGTTATAAATTAGTGAAAAATGCCATCACAGTTTCCTAATGCCCAACTTGATGTTGTCAAATGTCTTGTTTTGTGTGACCAACAGCCTGAAACCCAAAGACATTCACTTTACTGTCCCATAAATCAGAGAAAAGCAGCAAATCTTCACAACTGAGAAGCTGAAACTTTGTCATGTTTGATATTTCTGCTTGAAAAATGTGAGAAATTGATTCTGTGTGAAGTGAATTTGAGTCAAAAATCAAACTCCTTCCTGGAGTCAAATCTGAACATAGGAACATGATGCACATACTTCAGTGACATACACTTTCCGGGGATGTTGTTATGTCTGATTTCCATTGCATAAAACATCCATAAATCTACTCAGAATCCGTACAAAAAAAACGATCCTTAAAACTCCTTGTCTGAGAATCAGCACTTTGTTTTCTTCAGTATCATAATGATCCAGTGATGTACAGTATGTCTCTACATCCATGGGTACTTTACAAACAGGAACTGCAAAGAGCTAATTCAGCATACTTTTCCAATTAATGGAATTGATGGACCAATTAATCATTTAAGGTCTACTTGCTGGTTCCAGCTTCCCAAATGTTATAATTTGCTGCTGTCCTCTATTTTATATCATTGTAAATAGTTCATCTTTGGTAACTGGTGGCAATGGTGGACACTAGGTCCACTGCTTTGATCCTGACTTAAATATCTCAACATTTACATTTACTATCTAGCCTCAGGTCAAAAGGTCCAAATTTTTGTTTAATTTGTCCAATACTTTGGGTTATGACTAAATACGTGCAATATTAGATTATCCGCAGCCTCAGAGATACTTTGTTTAGTGCTAATTATCAAATGTTAGCAGGCTAACATTCAAAATGAAGACAAGGTAAACATCGTACCCATTCCCAACATGGAGCATTAAGATTCCTAAATTGAATTATCCGAAGCTGTGTGCAGCTTGTGTATGAATCCACATTATATACTGTTTGAATAAGTGATTTTGGTAACTGAACTGAAGATGTAAGCTAATATATTATAGATATACTTTATTATTTAGAGTCATTATTCAGCATCTTAAAATGTCAAATCAAGCTCTAAACCATGTTCTTCTCCTCCATCCTCTGTTATAGAAGATCTTTTTCACACAAACGAACTCTGCCTAGCAACAGTCTGCCCAATCATCTTGTAGTCACAGGATGTTCGGCAGACACTCTGCTGAAAAGATAGACAGACATGTCAGAGATCAGTGCTGCTGCAGTTATTGATTCTGTGTGCCCTTTCTTGTGTTTGTATGTGGGCTTGTCTTATTGTGTGTGTGTGTGTGTGTGTGTGTGTGTGTAAGAGATCTTGTGTAAACATTTTCAGCCAGCTGCAATCATGGTCGAGTGTCGGGAAGACCGTGGCTGTCACTATAGTGTAGTATACTATCACATAGGCAGTTGAGGTTAATTTGCTTTTGTTGGCTTCTTCTTCTCCTTCTGATGTATCATGTGTGTATTTTTCCATTTTTGTGACTCCGCTCTGCTGAATTATGAAGTTTTTTAGTAAATGACAATGAAAACATCAAAGCGCAACACAACAGCGACTCATTCAGTAATAAAGTTTGCTTGGAACACACGCAGCCAGTTTTGGCACAGCAAGCCATCATGGGATTTAAAGTGTGATCCAAACAGGGATGTTGCCTCTTGAGCGACCATCTGTGATTACACCAATCGCAGTGATCTACTTGTTTGCAAGAGTTACATACAAAATAATTTACATTTTATTTGTGCTGTGAACTGCTTAAGAGTTGGTTTCTATCCTTCTTGATTGTGTATAAAAATGATTGAGCTGTGTTTAAAATTATGTAATCTTCCACTGTTCAGTGTATAGAGAATCGCTCTGTGAAATAATTTGAATCCAGCAACAAATGAGAGCTGAAATGATTTGTTGATTAAACAATAGATATAAAAATAACCTGCAACTCTTTTGATAATGAATTGTTTCAAGCAAAAATAGTGAATCAGTGCCAAATATTCTCTGATTCCAGCTTTTCAAGTGAAAGGATTTCCTGCTTTTCTTTGTTGTATATCTTTGTTAGCTAAATGTTTTTGCGTATTTGGACTTTTGGTCAAACAGAACAAGACATTTGAAGACGTCATGTTCAGCTCTGCAAAGTTCTTATTGGCTTTTTTTGACAATTTTTTTTGAAGCTTCGTTGATCCAAGAAATAATCGGTAGATTCATCAATGAAGACCATAATGGATACTTGCAGCCCAAGTTAATAATAAGAAATGGCAGTTTGTCAACAGAGAGAACTGAGTTTGTTTCACAATGTTAAATCTGTAAGTATATGTAGTTTATACATGTAACACTCTACATTTTGTTCACAGTACAGATGCAGTTATGCAGGAATAAGTTATATATCATCTTATATGTTGACATTCAAAATGTCTCGTCTGTGTTGGTTGAAACAGGCACAGCTGCAGATGCAGATGCAGATCTGAATTTATACAAAGACATTTTTTACTTTTCGGTCTTTGTCTTCTTCTCATTTTGTGTCCGTTTCTGTCTCTTTCTGTCTTCAGTACTGGATCAATGAGTTCACCAGCTCTCTGGGCATCGGGGTGTTTCACTCAGGGATTGAGATCTATGGAAGAGGTAAGATTACACAGACACATGACACCGCACATATCAGGTCAACTGCCCGAGGATGGGGGTTCAGAAAGGATTCAGGATATAATACATACATCACTGTGTTCTCTTCCAAGCATGTCTGGTTGAAACTTAGATATTTGTCAAAGACAAGACTTTTTGTATAAAAACAACATGTACTCAGATGTGTGTTTTCATGTTGTGTGTGTTTAGAGTTTGCCTATGGCGGACACCCGTACCCATTCTCAGGGATCTTTGAGATTACACCAGGTGATGCAACCGAACTCGGCGAGACCTTTAAGTTTAAGTAAGTATGGGATATTAAGTGTTTTTATACACGTGTTTTCTGATGTGGAGGGTTGTTGTTGTTGTTGGGGGCGGAGAAGAAGAGATTTAACCGCTTCTGTGTTGTTCAGGCGTTTCACTGTCGACAGAGGTGTTTTAAGGTTTAGACAGTTTAATGCTGACACAGTCTAAGTCACAGTTTACAAGTGAGTTTGTCAGGTACTTGGCTCAGCAGTCAGTGAACGTGCAAGAGAGTCTGTCATTCAGTCCACCACTGAACTCGTCAGTCCGTGTCCGGACATGCACTTAAGTAACTGCCGTACTGCCTTCTCTGCTGAGGTTGTTTTGTTAGCATCATCAAAACACGAAACCCTGTTTTCCATAATGAGCGCAGAAGATCAGGTCATTTCTGCTGTAGAACACCGATGTCTTAGTTTGTGTTTGCATGAACCAGTTTCTTTATGGTTTTTTTTTTTTTCACATGTGCATGAGAGACTGAACATCTATCTGTCCTCTCTTCTCCAACACACACACACACACACACACACACACACACACACACACTCACACAACCGAAAACATGACTTATAAAATGAAAATAAAATGCAGGAAGCAGCATGTGTTGTGTCACTAATACATTTAATATAAGAAAGAAATAACATTACTGACCTGTTGCAGGTATCATGGACTTACAGTAAAAAGGTTACTACAGTGCATTTAATAGTGTTCTCTGATTACCTGAATGACCTGGTTTGTCATAGTAACTTAATGCAGGTAAACGTACTGAGTAATCTAGTCAGTAACGAACTGATGGATTCACTCTGACAGGTAAATCATCCCGTCTGTAGATTAATTCAACATCAACATTTGATGAAGACTTTGACGCAGTCACCATCAGTTTTTATTAGTGTTAGAGTCAGGAGTTCCCTACTGAACTGAACAGGACCGATCCGTCAAATGATCATTGTCCAACAGTCAGCCAGACAGTCCCGGCCTTTTCTGTGTGTCCAGTCAACCAGTCAGTCAGTGAGCTGGTATCTTCTTGTAATGAGGGCTACTGCTGGTTATTGCTGCTACAGGAAGGAGAGATAAAACAAAAATGCATGAGTGGGGGACACAGAGAGAACAGCATGTGACAAACATTTTTTGGATTTCACACTCGATTTGCTCATGGTTTGTGGCAGCTGAACAGAAACAGTGAGAGAAAACAGAAGAGACTGAGCAGAACAAAGGTGGAATTTTATCTTGTAACTGGGAACAGGAAAAGAGGGAAACATGATGCAGCTCTGTGGTGATTTTAAAGGCTTGTGGCTTATATTAACGGTTATTTTCATTATCGATGAATCTGATGATTATTTTCTCGATATAATTGATCATTTATTTTGTGTTTAAAACATCTGAAAATTGTGTATGTAATTTCCCAGAGACCAAGGGAAGATCTTCAGATGTTGTGTTTTGTTTGTCAACAGTCAAGAACCCAAAGATATTGAGTTTACCATCATGTACAATAAAGAAAAGCATCAGATAATCACATCTGAGAAGCTGGAAACAATAAATATCTGTCTTAGAAAATGACTAAAACAATTCTCCGATTATCAAAAAAGTTGCCAGTTCATTTTGTGAAAAGAACAAAAAAAAAAGGCGTTGAGCAGGAAATAAGTTAATTGAGGTCAACTGCAGAAATGAAGGTGCTTTTAAATGTGACAGTCAGTTCAGGGCCATTTTGTCAGATTTTTACTGCAGATGAATTCAAGTCTGTTGCGGTGGAGAGACAGGAGGTTCCCAGTCAGCTCAATACGTTAGGATGCCCAGAATCATCCGAGGTTGTGTGTGTGTGTGTGTGTGTGTGTGTGTGTCTGTGTCTGTGTGTCTCGCTACCCAGAGCAACTGTGCTGCTGTATTACTTCTGCTCTAGTTGATCTGCCCTGTGGCTTTAGACACACTCTGCCTGACACACACACACACACACACACACACACACACACACAGGCACACTTTCTGTCTCCATGCAGGCCAGTAGACCATAAGTATGGATCATCTGGGACAAATGCCGACATATCATCCAGGGCAGTGTCTCGCTGCCAAATGAATCCAGTTCTCTCACCCAGGCTGAAATCCATCATATTGTTCTGATACCAGTGCAAAACATTGGATCAAGATATTATTTCCTTTAAACCTGAAAGACACTAAGCAGGTAAATCCAGGTGAAAAGCTGCTTATTAAAAAGATCTGGTAATTCCATTTTAACTTATTATATAATAATATATATGATAATATTTATTCAGGATGTTATTACATGACAAGTAATGATATTTTAACCTCAGTTCAGACACTTGTCAGACTCACAGTCACAGATAGGTAAACCGGAGACTCACAGTGCAGCTGGGGAAGGAGTAGAAATTTATAAACGGCTACATTTTCAGCAAAACTTTCAACATTCACATTATTTATTCCAGCACTTCCATACACCCTTTCTCTACCATCCCCCTGTTTTAAATGACCTGTATGACAATGTCTGGACTACTCATCAGTTTTGTTAAGTACGAGAAAATTAGTGAATAATTCTCAAACATCCCACATGAGAACCAATCCGTTTGTAAGAGTCGTTCTTCCATGAGACTCGTTGGTTGTGCAAAAATAGGTTGAAACAAAATGTCCTGAAGTCATTCTTGATGTGTCATCAGTAAGTAATAAAATGAAGTAACACCTGCCTCCACACCCTTTTCCTGCTCGTCTCTGTAGAGAAGCCATAGTCCTGGGCAGCACGGACTTCACAGAGGAGGATGTGGAGCGGATCGTGGAGGAAATGGGGAAGGAGTACAAAGGCAACGCCTACCACCTCATGCACAAGAACTGCAACCACTTCTCCTCAGCACTGTCAGAGGTAGGTGTAGGTCCAGAACATCCCCCCCCCCCGTCATGCTCAGTTAAATTCCATTAAAGTGGAACCGTCACTACATCTTGGTTTAGTCTCTCCTGTCTGAGTGTGACTAGCTCTCTCTGTGTGTGTGTGTGTGTGTGTGTGTGTGAGAGAGTACTTTCAATCGGCTTATCCTGGTGTGACTAATGAGCAGGGAGTCTTACAGTTAGCATCTAGCACTGAGATGGGGATTAGGACACACTGATACAAGCCCAGACATGCAGAGCCAGCTGGAAAACATACACACTTCTAATAGACACACACACACACACACACAGATGTACAGTATATACCACATGTAAGGATACTCTCGAAGGGGAAATGCGCAGTTTAAAATTGTGATATTCACACATACATGGACAAAAACATGCATCACATGAATGCAATACACAGAGGAATATAGAGACACACACAGCACACCAGAGGGAGGCAGCTCTGCCCTCAGGATTTGATTCTCATGTTTACTGTAACCTCATTAGTATGGGAGGTCGACTTAAAGAGAGAAAGAGGCGAAAACGATTGGACACGTAGATGGTTCATTGCAGCTTTGAAAGATCAAGCATCAAGAGCGATGTCACTGCACAGGAAACAAGTCTTAAAAGGTCCCAAAAGTCCAAAAAAAAAAATTATTCTCAGTTTAAATAAACGATTGTAAGAAAGTAAGAACATCTTTGTGGTTTGTAAAAGTAAGTTGCAGTAATCGGACATGAAGTGGGCTTCCAGATTTATTATAAATTTTAATCAAATTCGAGAAAATCAGCAAAAGAAAATCGATCCACTACTGTTATGGTTTTTGTTTTGTGGTATTTAAATAGCATCAAGTTTTGTTTGATGCTGATATTTTTCTATGATGTCATTAGCTATTATGTTTCTTAAGTGCTGCAATCAATATTTTTACATTAAAATTGATCAAAAAACTGGGAGAATTATCACCCGACTCTACATTTCCCCTCAGCTCTACAGAGCGTTTTAACATGCTTGAGCTCATAGCTTTTTTTGGTTTTATAGCCCATAACCTTTTGATTCACTCTCACTGCTCTCAGAACCCCATTGCTCACTACATGATCAACAATAAACTGCAAATGGACAAGGTTAGCGACCCACTGGTGAACATAGTGGAGCAGCTACAGAGATAAATATTTCTCTCAGGAGAACAGAGTTAAAAGGAGAATGAATATTGGACTCATCATTTATCAGATGGAAAGAAACACGAATACAAAACGAAAGCTAATTCAAGTTACAGAGCAGCAGACACGAAGCTAAAGTTGCTCTGTATCTGCTGGATGTGAAGGGGAAAAAAAAGCCACCGCGTTCCAACATGTTCACTGTGTCTGCAAGGCGAGTTTTATTTGCACGTTTCAACAACCTGGCAATTCAAAGTACTTTACATAAAATATCAAAGGCATTAAGACAAGATGTAAAAGAAATACAAGAGAAACATTTCAGTTATTTGGGCAAAATACATTTAATTTTGATGATTTTCTTTTCTTTCTTTTTTCGAGGTGAAAAGAAGTAAATACAACCCCTGCAGAAACATATGTTCAGAAATTAGCCTTTCTTCACATGTTAATGCATTGTTAGTTTTTATTCAAGCTTTTCTCGTCTCGTCTCGTCTCGTCGTATCCCGCTTATCCGGATCCGGATCGCGGGGGCAGCAGCCTCAGCAAAGAGGTCCAGACGGCCCTCTCCCCAGCCACTTCCACCAGTTCCTCCGGGAGAATCCTGAGGCGTTCCAAGGCCAGCCGAGAGATATAATCCCTTTTCTGTTCTTGACTTTTTCACCCTGTCTTGCTGCTGATCACTTTTAGGCTGCCTTACATTCACACAGCTTGTTCAGGATCTCTATGATATTTAGTAGAATCCATTTTTTTCTGGTTAATGTTTTTGCTGAGCCGCTGGCTGACATGCAACCTCAAAGCAGAATATTTCCACCCACATGCTTAACAGTTGACAGTCTCTATTTTTTTAAGTTCATCAAATAGAAAATAACAGTTGCATTAACATTTGAAGAAGCACATTTTTAGCTGTTTGCTGCAGGGGTTGTTTTCACATCTTCTTCAAAATATGTCATCTGAGCAGGGACCCAACCTTTGAATACAAATAGTAACACAAAATAGAACAACATTTAGCCCCATAACATAATAACATTGCCAGTAATGCTTTAGTGTCATATGTGTTGCATCTCATTGCACTGCCCCCAAGTGGCCAAAAAAAAGAATGAATGCGGGTTTAAGGAGGTCTGCATGGAGGAAGGGTTTAAAAAGATCTTTATGCCTCGTTTTTTCTCTTGTGTTATCTTTTTCTCGCCTCCTCTCTTTATCTTCTCTTGCCTCCTAGTACTGGTTATTTTTATCCAGAGTCATATTCGGGTGTCTCCTATAAAAAGCCGGCTGATCTGCCATGAACAGCTCATGTTGGTGATGTGAAAGCTTGTTTTGTGAGTATAAAGGGGTATTTTCAAAAACGCCTCACCGCAGTGTGAATTCTGCAGCTGAAGCTTATTTTTATTTCACCACACACCACACCAGGTGATTTTTTTTAATTTATGGATTAATTAGAGCTCTCTGTGGTGGATTTAGACTTCCTCCTTGTAGTGGAGGCTGTGCTCATCTGTGAGGTCATCTGTGAAGTCATGATACAGAGCATTCACACCGATTTCTTCTTGTCACAGCAAACTCATCTCTGATATAAACATAGGATACAATCTAGTATCATCTGTTGGCTGCATATGACGTGACACGACATGCAAAATCAACTGCTTTGCAAGACATTTTTGTGGTTAAAAGCAATTCCACTGTCGCTTTCTCACACCCATCTTAAAATAACAGCAGCTTTGGTAGTGTGTGATATGAGTACACTTAAGCCCTTTGACTGGGAAACACTGAGTTTCTTGTCTCAGAAAGTCGTAATGGCGCTGACAGAGCTAAGTGATGATAATAAGCCCTCACATTAACAGTGTTAGTCTGTTATGGGAAGGAGGTGAGAGAGAAATGCAATCCAAGCCTCCAGCCCATGTACGAGCAGTTGGTTAGTTACAGTACATGGATAAATTGCTACAATAGAGGCATGTTATGGCATCTCGCTGGGTTGCCATGGTGTTTTGGGATTTTTTTTTGTTTGTTTGTTTTTTTAGGACGCAGAAAGTCAGGAAATATAACAGAATTTCCTTGAAATGTCAGAAGTTTTTCACTTCACAAGAGAATAGCAGGATGTATTTTCAAGTTACGCGTCCATTGTTTCAGATTTTTTTTTCTTCCACAGCAACCTCAGCTAAACTTGGAAAAGACTCTGATTTCCCTCTCAGATTTCTTCTGACGTTAACAAACCAGGGAGAAGTACAGAGTATTTGTAGATCATGGAAGCATTTTGGTTTTAGTGAGCAAAGGAAACAGAAGATTTACATGGAATTCACATTGAAATCAACATTAATTATAAGAATGAACTGTTAGGAGGAAGAAATACTGCCCTTAATCTTGGGGAATTGTTGATGTTTTACTTTGTGTTTTCAGTTAATCTGATGGGGGAAAAAAAAAAAAAATGGCCAATACAAATTTCCAGCGTCCAAAGTGACCTCTTCAAAATGCTTTCCCTCTTTCTCCGTCCTCAGATCCTGTGTGGCAGGGAGATCCCTCGCTGGGTCAACCGCCTGGCCTACTTCAGCTCCTGCGTGCCATTCCTCCAGAGCTGCCTGCCCAAAGAGTGGCTGACCCCGGCTGCCTTACAGTCCAGCGTCAGCCAGGAGCTCCACGGAGGAGGGGAGCTGGAGGAGGCCGAGGACGCCGCCGCCACAGCCTCCCTGGCCTCCATGTCGCCGTGCTCGCCCTCATCCTCCTCCAGCCCCTCCTCCTTGCCTCGTCATTCCCGCCACCAGCCCCGGCGGTAGAAGGTGGAAAGTCTGCTGGGAAACTTATGGCTGGACTTGCGGTCAGGAAACAGAATAGCTGCGGCAGCTGATGAGTCCAGCTACCGCCAAATGTCCTGTCAGACTGTCCTTGAGCAAGGGACTGAACTGCGACCCGCTCTGGTTAAGAATGTCAGCCAAATCCCTGCAGTGATCCGGAGCAGTGGAACGGTTTCTCCTCGCAGGAAGAAGGAGATCTCGCCGCTGACAAAGGCATGTTCCATCAGCGAACATTGCTGACAGAACACAACATCCCATCCAAAATCCAAACTATCTCCCCTCTAGTCTCTTTCATTATTTTACCAGCCAAATCACAACGCAGAATGGAAGCAGAGCCGTTTGTTTTCCTGCCACAGTGTTTCATAATTTAGGAACGTTCACCAGCCGCGTCCAGACTTTAGCAGCAGTTATAATTGTGGATTGTGCTAATCTCCACCTTGTTGTAGTGGAAACCAGAGCGAGGGGATGGTGTGAAAGAAGTGCAGGTTCGGCTCACTGACTGCAAGCTACAAGATTTATTTTTTTTTTAAAAATGTTTTGAGTGTCGTTGGATCTTAGTCTGGAGAAAATGCTTAAAAATGGACGCCACACCCGTGTTTATACGAAGTAAAAAGTTAATACATCATCTTAAAACCTAAATCAGCTCACATATGCATTGTAATTCAGACTGAGATCAAAACGTGGAGTCAGTGCGCAAATATCTTCACGCCTATATGTGATGTGCGTTTAATTACAGTCTTAAGTTATCTGCAGTCTGAATAAACTTCGGATCATTATCATGTTTTTAATCGCCGGTATAATTTGACTGCGGCTGAAAAACGTTTCCACTGCAGTCAGCTGGAGCTAAGATGTTTTGAATATTTGGCTGGTAAACTTTTGAAAGCAGCACACGGATTTTGGACTCGAAACACTTTGCCTCGAAATGCTGTGTGTGCATCAGGACCTCAGCCTTTTGTTCTTCTTTTACAATCTTGTTACTATAATCAGCCTAATTTTCCTCAAACGCCACACAGACACAAATAAACTGATCCCTAACGCACCCCGAATGGGTTCAGTTCCAGGTAATCTTTGCTTCCCAAGTCCCTCGCTTCTTCTTTGTCCCTTTTTGTCAGGTATCTGTAGCAGCTCTTAAAATCCTACCTGTCCATCATGGAATAACCACACCTGATACGATATAACTGAACTGGATGAAGCAGATTTTTAAAAATGTATCAGCCTGTAAAGTAATAATTACAAAATGGCAGCAGCTATTTCTTCACCGATATTATAATCTTGTTATTTTTTAAATTTAAGAATTGGGTTGCAGGGCAGGCAATGACTTAGAGGTCAGTGTAAACTTTTTGTTACCAAGAAGGCTCTGGGTTTAAATCCCAGCGTACAATAGAGTGAATTCTTTCTTAGTAGCAACTGCCAAGGTGCCTTTGAGCAAGGTACTTAACCTACAAGTGTCCCAGCAGCCACCAGTAAGACTGTGGTTGTACTGGACTGCTCCCAGTTCTCAGTGTGTTCATCTTTGTAACCGTGAAGCAAAATGTTTCGTCTTCACCTGAGCAAGTCAAGTAAACGTTGATGGACTCCATGTCGGTTTGTAATCAACACAAACATCTGTGGCGGAAGGGGAACTGAGGAAGAGTGTGTCTTAAATGTTAACCCGCTCTGACTGACCTGTGATCAGCCGTGCACCCCTGACAGTCAGACTCCTCACATCTGTGTCTACTTAGGGATGACGCACGTCGGTGTTTAATCTGGAGCATCGCAAGCACATTTTAAGTTTCATTTCAAAAGATTTATACTTTTATTTTATTTTGGGGGAAAAAGTGATTAAACTTATAATGTACTATCATTTTAATCATCTTGAACAACGGTTGAGCGTAATTTTACAGGAAGATGCTGCTTCTCCAAATGATGAGCACCTCATTTAAAACTCTATATATGCTGTTAGCAACACCACGTATGCTGCATAATGTGTATTGTCCCAAACAACAGCCATGGATGTGTTGAAAACATATTTCTCAGTTGATTTCACTTGTTTTGCTGGAAGTCTGAGGACTGGACTACAAGCAGGAAAACATGTTTGTTTGTTTGTTTGTTTGTTTTTTTAAATCCTTTATTGTATTTCTATGATATATGGACTCTGGCCTTTTTGTCTGTTTTGTTTATGTTTGATAAACTCAGGACTCCAAAAGGCTTTGTAACATAATCCTTTAAACTTTTTTATTCCACATTTTATGTTTGCATTGTTGTTGCTTTTTCTAATGCAGTAGTCACTCCATAGAGCTTTTGAAGAACGCACTGTGGCGGTGCAGTTTTATACTCGTCTCTTTGATAAAGGAAAAAAATGAGCTTTTGTTTACAACCTGGATGTTTATATGTGAGTCTGTGCTGCTCTTTGTTTTCCTGTCTGTGCATGAATGTGTGAGTGTGTGTGCACACTCGTATTATAAATAGTTAGTATCAACAACAAGCTGCCAACTGGGCCACATACATTTCCATATCTCTCACACACACACACACACACACACACACACACACAGATGATCTGCAAAAGGGATCCATCTTCACAAATGCAGCGGATGTTTCCAAGGTATTTTTTCAAAAACACTGCTGCATCTTTAAGAGATGGGATTTCTCTACACGTGTAACTTTTTGTTCTCGATCCTAAATTTCGGATATTTTCAGTGACATTATTTTGGTGCAGTGACAGAAGCAGTGTTAAAGCAGGACCCACTGTAAAACAATGACATTTCTCACAAAACCAGCATCCTTATCTGACTATGGAGTGAAAGGATTCAACTCAACAACTGTGTTATGAACTTAATTTAAATGTTACTTTTTTTGTAAATCTGAGTAAGAAAACATAAAACTTTATTTTTAATGCACTGACACAGACTGACACACACACTTCTACTGCTGTCAGCCTTCTGCCGGCTGGTATTTGTACTGTTACTTGTCTGTGCTTCAACACACAGACGCTGAGGTTTCCCCTTAACCTTCATAGCTTCTGATAGTTTATCCATCGTCTGTTGACAAGTACAGAATATCTCACCAAAACACACCAGCTGATACTGGATTTACCAACATATGTAGCCTTTCATTTCAAAAGGCTGAGGATGAAAAAGTTCCAATCGCAACATTAAACGTCACAAATCACCATCACTGAGGCCAAAGATCGCTACAGCGACACCAATCCTTGCTCTCTCTTTTTCTTAACAGCCATTTAATCATCACAACTTCTTTAATGAATGTCTCGTTTTGGAATGAAACGATCGTTCTTTGAGAAAATGGATATTTGCACCACATGTGTGAGCTATGAATGTAAATTGGGAAACCTCAGTCATTCAAACCCCAGAAGAAAAAAAAACTGACTTCAACTGTTTGAGTGAATTTTCACAGAGACTTCAATGGAGCCAAACAGATTTGTACCGTGTCGGAAAGTTATTAAAGAGGCGTATACAATCTGTGACTTTGATTCTGTGTCATTACTGTTTTAGTTTATCGGTTATTCTAGTTAAAGTCTACTTTAATATGGAAACTAATGAAAATTTGGTTAGAGCTTACTCAAGCCAGTAAAATACAGTTCATCATGTCTGTCTCTGGTGAATCTGAGTCAGCCACTGGGTGGAGACAAACACCCATCAACGACACAGCTACAGACGTGAGGGAAATCTGTGTCATTGTCAGTGACCAGCAGCTTTTTAAATCGACCTGCAGGTCTCAAAGGGGACATTTTGACAAGGTTTTGTGAGTAGTGATCATGATTATCAGCTCATCTGGCTGTAATTTTTGTCAGATCATGAAGCTCATACAGTGAAATGTGAATTGATAGATGTTTGCGTCAAAATCCCCTGCATTGACACATGACTTCTGTGGTGCCTGTCATGTGAGAACCTTAAAAAAGGAAGAAAGTCGAAGCTGATGCAAAATGAGATAAAACAACATGGATATCTGGATCAATTTATTGTACATTCTCTAGTATGCTCTTTACAAAAACAGGCTTCCTGGGAATATGTTTCACTTGTGATGGAGGACTGTAGGAATTATGCAGGTACTGTGCAGGACAATGAATTGTCCATTACATATATGAAAACACATTGGAGGTGAGCAATAAGCACATAAATTCATGTACTGTACTATAAGAAGATAAAAGTTACACGTTTTGTGCTTTTTAAACATCAAGACAGTTAAATTGAACATTCAAAGAAACATATCAATTAATGGAAAAGTGAATAAAATACATTGAATTCATCAAATTAAGTGCTAATTGTGCATTGCTGATACATGACTTTCAGCAGTACTAACCACTGACGTACAAAAGTATACATGGCATCCTGCAGCAGCTGCCACACATTCAAACAACAACTACAAAATAATGAGTTTGATGGGAATTCAGAGGCAGAGCCGTACGCAGAGATCTTCCCTCTCAGACGACTAGTGCTGTCGGGGAACAAACTTGAGTTTTACCGGTTTGATCGGCTGGAACTTCCAGTCAAACTCTAGAGGAATCTAGAGGAAGAAAGGAAAGTAAAATCAGGGACATGACAGCAGAGGAGTATGACCGTATGTGAATAAGTGCGTTGCTCTAATTCTTACCACGGTGTCTTTGCATGTTTCCAGAGTGTAACGCTGCAGGAGACAGACAACGACCATTTTCATGGTGAGGAGAGCGTAGCGCATCCCAATGCAGTTACGAGGACCGAGCCCAAACGGCATGTACACGTACGGGTTCACCTCCTCCCCGCTGTCTTTACTGAACCTGCGCGAGCGCACACACACGCACGCACACACACACACACACACACACACACACACACACACACACACACACACACACACACACACACACCAGATTAACTCAAAGTCTAAGTCACGACTGAGAGAGAGTGCATGTTCATGATACTCTGCAGAATTATTTAATTTTGTGTTTTAAAAAAGGTGCTAGCAACAGGGCTGCAAAATACTGCAATTTTAACTAAAAATATATATATTTTTTTTTTATGTATTGCAATATCTAGCCACCAGTTTAGTGGATCTTCACTGTGAGGCTTGGTGTAGCTGCAGATGTCTAATAAACACTGTTCTGTTATGTTTTGCCTGATCAGTTTGCACATTTGGCTGAAGGGCCGTCTCTCCCGGCTGCTCCTGAAGTTCTCATACTCACTTCAGTACACTCTGGGGTTCAGCTGACTCAGCCTTGCTTGGGCTGTTCTGGCCAGTAGCTTATGGAGGCTAATGGAGGATGGATATTACTGTGTAATTGTCATCACTGATTCAGTCTGCTTACTTATTGTGACACTGCTTTTTAGCATTTACCATTATCCCGTGATGTTGCTTGTGGCCAGTACTGTTTACATCTAGTCAGCTGCTGTTCCCAAGGTCAAGAATGAACTTATGAACTTTTGAGTGGCCAGTTAAAATCACAACTGTTCAACTCCAGCTGTTGAAAATCTATTCAAGAACAACGTGCCAGATTTGAGTAATTGTATTTTCTCGTGGAGGGAGAAAAGGTTCTCTCTCCTGGATTCATTAATGTCAAAAGTAAAAGCTTAGCACATTTACCTCTCTGGTCTGAAAAGCTCAGGTGAGCTCCAATAGCGTGGGTCCTTGTGTAATGTGCACACAGGAACCACAACCAGGGTTTTTTCAGGAATGGTGACGCCCTGGACCTGGACAGTTTTTTTGCAAACCCTTTCAAGCCGAGGTGCAGTGGGGATCAAACGCAGTGACTCATTAATAACCTGGTCCAGGTAATGCAGGTTGAGCAGATCCTTGTATGAAACTGGAGCCTAGAAAAGGTGAAGAAGGTGAAGGAGACATCAAACACAAAAATAAACAGATAAAGTTTGGAACAAAAGGTAACGCCTTAATTTGCGGGTCCCATATTTCCAGCTAACTTCCTAGAAACTTTCTTGGGAGCAGTTTATTAATTACGAGGATATTTTGTATGTTTTCTAATTATAAATGGGCCTGCTCATTATATTCAAGTTTTTGGGCAAAGAAATTAGGAACTTATGTAGTAGGTGAGTAAAAACAGTTAATAAACATCCATCAGAGTTTCCTAGAAAGCTCAACAGAAAAATCTTAATTCTTGGTTAAACAGAAAATTCACCGAGTCATTTTATTTTAAAATGTTCAGTCTGTGGAAATTAGGTAGAAATACGTCTCTTTTATTCATCTGATGAACAGAAAACACAAAACTAAGGAATTTCTAATGCAGCTGAAAACTACTGGTGAACATTCAACCACTATGAAACATCAACATCATTTAAATGAATATTTACAGATTCAAAAGCAGATCTATGACGTATGGCAGCTCAAAGTCATGACGAATCAAAATTAAGATTCTTTTTTTTTGTCTTTTTGGGAAACTCAGATATTTTGGCATCAGCTGATGAACTATTCTTCACCTACCTACTTCACAAATTCAGTCTTTTCTTAAAACCTCCAATATAGCTAATGAGTGGGTGTTTAATAACTTAATATCCATTTGCCTCATAATTATTATAATTAGTACCAAACTGTGTATAAAATATCCTAGTAATTAGCGGCTAAATACCAACTGAGCTTTTAGAAACAATGAGGAAACTTTCCAGGAAATTAAATGAAAAATTAGGGACATGTAAAATAAAGCAATATAATATACGGTGAATGTGTTACTGTACATCTTTCGGGAGGCTGGTGTCAATTTCCTTCTGCAAGGTCTCCAACGCCTCTGGGTTGGTGGCCAGATTGTAAAAGATGTAAGTGAGAGTGACACTGGTGGTCTCATAGCCTCCGAAGATGAAGATGAAGGCCTGGGAGAGGATCTCGTGATCAGTCAAACCTACAACAAAATAAGGTGAACAAATGAAAATATAGAAAACCAATGTTTTAAATCTTATTCAAAGCTCCTGTACTACAGGTGTTATTAGTGGCTGTTTTTGTAGATTATTATTCACTCAACTGAAGAGTAGTTTAGAAGATAGTTTAGACATGAAAATTTCATCTGACAGATTATCATCAAAATGATAAATGGAGCTGTAACTATTTTCATTATCACTTAATCTGACAATTATTTTCTCTATTAATTGATTAGTCGTTTGGTCGACAAAATGTAAGAAAGGTGAAAAATACCCGTCATAATTTAATAAAGCTGAAGGCGACGTCTTGAAATCAGATTTGAAATTTGTCGAAAACAATAAGATCTTCAGTTAACGACATAAAATAGAGAAAAGCGATCTTTGTGCTGTTTGTTGCATTTTTTATTTAGAATTTTTTGGAAATTGTATTTTGATGCTTTGGCTATGTTGTTTTTCTCAAACTGTCAAGCCAATAAAGGACCTTGGAGTTGAATTTAAGCAGCACATTTGAGGAGACAGGAGTATAAGAACATGACTTCAGCTCTAATTACTGGTAGATTGTGGTGTAATTATTTTTAACCATTTGATTTCAGCTACAGGGATGTTTGGGGGAAAAAAACCACTGAAGCTCATCTAGATGTGAGATTGTTGCAGCCTCTCGTACCTCCAGACTTCTAATATAAAACTGACAACACATATGATCAGGGTGGCATTATACAATACAAGGAAAAAACACATGCGTTATAAACATGGAACAACTTTGTGTGGAATACCATCTATCTTCAGTTATCTTGTGGTCTAGTGAAGAAGAATCACTTTATGAAGGTGAAGAACAATTTGAATGTAAACTGAGAACAGAGTGCTGATGAAGTGTTACCTCGACTTATCGCCTTGGTGAAAACGTACCTTTACTCGGCTGTTCACGTTCACTCTTTATGTCTGTCTCTGGTATCTCGCTCTGAATCATCACCTGCAGGAAGTCTGCCCGACTCTACATCAGCACAGAGAACAGTCAGCATCGACAGAAACAACATTTCTACGAAACATATCAATGTGGGTGGTATTAGGTTAATTTGAACAAGAGAGAACATAAGGAGAAAGTTGTGAGGGTTTAAAGGAATAGTTCAACATTTGCTTATTCACTTTCATGCTGAGACTTAAGATGAGAAGATTGATTGCCACAGGAGGTTAGCTTAGCCTAGCATAAAGCCTGCACACAGCTAGCCTGGCTCTGTTCTACAGCTCACTAATTTAAATGTTATAACTTGTTTGTTTAATCCGTGCTAAGTGTCAAAATGGTTTTTACAAGAGGTTTATATGTTCGAATATTTCTTATCTGATGTTATCTTAACGTTAAATACTACAGAGGCACAATTTTAGGGGCAGTCTATGAAGAAAACCCAGACGTCATTTGATACCCACTCACCTAAGACCTCCTATTTCACGTGACAAATTATTTTATGTTTTGATTCTTTGTGTGTGTAGTCTAAGAATCAGCAATCACTTTTTAAACCCACTTGTTAAAGGTAATTTGAAGAAGAATTATTTTAATTTGTTATATTGTGTTATAATACTCCTTTCTTCTCCTAATCCTAATTCTTTAGCTCAATACACAGCAGTTTCAAACTCATTCTAGACTAATTTTTGACTTCATCAACTGGTAGCATTACAAAATAATAAGGAAAGTCTGGGTTCATAGCTTCAGAGGTGCTGGCATAATGGGCAGATTATGGGCAGAGCCAGGCTAGCAGTTTCCCCATGTTTCCAATCTTTATACTAAGATAAGCTATCTAGCTCCTGGCTGTAGCTTCATATTTAACAGACAGACATTAGAGTGGTATCACAATACAGCATATTTCCCAAAAGTATCAAGCTAATTCTCTGCAATGTCTTTTTTTTCCACTTGGTTCAGATTAAATGCTTACAGAGTCCTCTGCACAATGCTGGTCTTTAAATCTTTTGATGATGTTGTAGAAAATTTCCACACTGGCTCTGGGCATCATTTCAATATTCAGGAGTTTTACCAGACGGGCACCAAAGGGAAACAACACTGAAAAGAGACCAAAGGCCTGTTAACTAGAATTTACATACAAATGATACCAAGTTGCTCATTATGATGAAATGATCTCTGAAAGGAGGACATACTTATTAAAAAGAGCGGCCAAAATCTTAAATTGAGAACCTTCTTGAGATGCACAACAAGGGGGTCATCTGGATCGCTGATGGAGTTGGCCTCAACACCGAAAGACGCGCTAGTCACGGTGTCTAAACTGTAAGGCCCCAAAAATCTACGGCAGAAAAAAGGAGAGGTGGTTGTCTTTTAAGATCTAACATGGATTAAGTATTACCATGCGTATTCATTTCGTGACAAACAATATGAGGATATGCTGCAGTATAACAGATTAACAACATACTGTTTGATGTCAATGGGCTCATCCAAATTCTGCTGTCCAAGTTTCTCAACGAGTCGGTCTGCGTAGCGAGCAACGATGGGAAAAACCTTGACAAAAAATAAGAGTTTTGTAATGTTCAGTGGAGAAAGAAGTACTTTTCTTTTCCTCGGGTGAAATTGTCAATAGCACAATGTACAAATACTCCACTACGAGTGAAAGTCAATTCAAAATCATTAGTATCATCAGCAAAATGAACTTAAAGAATCAAAAAATGCTCCTGTGACTTGATTTATTCTCATATATTATAATACATAAATATATAAATGTGCATGCAGCAGGTCGAGGTGGAGCAACTTTTAACTACTTTATATACAGTTTGGTAGTTTAGTCTAGTGGATCCCAACACAGGGTTTGTGCCCGGGGGGGGGGTCATGAGATGATTAATGGTGCAGGAAAGAAGGAAAAACAAATTTCTATTAATTTTTTGGACTCTTCTCAAATCTTTGCTATTATTTGTGAAACATTGGATACTTCTGCCTCTTTGCGCGTCAAATTATTATTTAAATGAAACAGTTTTAGAGGTTTAAAAGTAAATGTTTCAAAAAGGCTGGGACGCCCCGGTTTAATCATGCACAGTGTATTTTAGTGTTTACGCTTATCATATTCTGTTTTAGGTAAAATCTCCATCTGCACTGTAACTAGTTACTTCAGCTGTCATAAATGTAGTGTAGAGTATAAAGTAGCAGGAAATGGAAATAAGTTTCTCAAAATTGAAATTAAATACAGTATTTGAGTTAAGGTAGCTAGTTACTTTCCACTGCTGGCAATGTTGATACTGTGTTGTGTATATTTATTTCTATCACTGCCAACTTCTCTCAGTGTGTCTAAACAGACATGGAAATACATGTAGATACACTGTAGACACATGTAAATACATGTATGTAGACATTTACTGCAGACGGAGGTGAATGTATTTGTTTGGCTGCACTAGGTCACAGGAAGCAGCAAACAGAAGGGGGTCAGTGAGCTTAGATGTGGTACCAACCTGTTTCAGCCGTCCACTGGTGAAGCACGGAGATAAAGTGCTGCGAATTCTTTTCCACTTTTCATCTTTAACTGATGTGATTGCATCTTCCAGAGGTCCTGCCATTGGATTATCCTGTGAACATGAGGACAATAAAGAGGAAACTACACTGACTGTTTAGATTCTTGTACAGAAGATTTATATAGACCATGTTTTCTGCTCTAATAATACAACTTCTAATTCCACCAGTGTTTCTTTCTGTCTTGAAAATGTGACCACACATTCAACTAACACAAGGATATAAGAGTAAATGAAGTAATTAAATATAAATCAGTATAAAATAGATTAAAAAAAATATCCACATCAATACACCTAAAATACAACAAAAACAGACAGAAGTAAAATTTAATTCACAACCTGTCACCGTACTCCCGGCCTGTTCAGGCTCCCCTGAACAAAGCCCCTTATTGATAGCAAATTAGCTAATAAGTTAAATCTGATTGATTGATATTCTCATCCCTGTTTATTAACTATACAACTACAGCCAGCTACCAGTTCGCACAAGACCAGAAACAGTTTGGCTTTCTCCAGCGAAACAAAACTTCAGTACTAACATGTCATGTCTCATGACAAAATCAAAACAAGTTGCAACACACACAGCTCTAAGAAGTGTGTCAAGAGTGTTTCCTATTATTTTTCCACTGGCCTCAGCAGATGTGTGTGGGGCCTGGCGTGATCTTCTGAAGGATATTATTTCAAATCCCGACTGCCTGACTGGAATAAAACATGCTTAGCTCCCTTTTCTTTACTTAAGCTTCAGAAAAACATATTTGGGATATGACCTTTAAAATTATGAAATACTCCTTAGCCTGATAGGGTGAGTAAAACATAACTGATCTAACCACATTACCAAGTCATTTCAGATGTTTCATCATGCCTCAACCTCTGCGTTCCAGAGTTGCATAATTGGAGAAACACCAAACACATTTTTTACTTTATTAAAACATGACTGCAAATGTTTGTGTCACAGGACATAATATCCTGAATTTTAAAATCCTCTATAACATGCACCAAGATGAGTCTCTCACCCTGCGGTTGGTAAACACAGAGTAGCACTCCTTCACCATCACATTTTTGATGATCTCAGGGTCTGCCACCATTAAAATTGGTTGCCGTCCATCAAATAACCTGCACAAAAACACAACAACATATATGTATGAGCTGTTGAGTAAACATGAACATTTTACAAAGCATCCATGTCAGCTCAAAGAGAGAATTAAATGTATATTGATCTAAATTTTAACAAAGGAAAATCTCTATGGTTCAGTGGCAGGATAATAACAGCAGGTTATCTTTTTCTTTTTTTTTCAATCATGTACAATACCCTGATAATGATAATATTCAGTCATAATTTCAAAAGGTGCGTTATGAAATGGCCATTTACTGAGAATAAAGATATATTCCAATGCCAGGAATGTTACCTGGAATGTGGCCATAACTCCAAACAAACAGATACAACTAGTAACTGTGAGCCCGTTTTATGTCTAAATACTTCAAGTATACAGTATGTCATCCAGTGGTGGAAAGTAATTACTACATTTATGCAAGTACTGTGCTTATGTTAACTTTTGAGGTACTTGTATTTTACTTCCATGCTTCCATTTTCTGCTGCATTATACTTGCTCTCCATTTCAGAGGCAAATAATCTACTTTTTAGCGTATGACATTTATTTGATATTAACATTTACTATTTCACATTAAAGTTATGCATTTCTAACTTTTTTTGGCCTCATAAAAAAAACATTGTCCACTTGTCTCCACCAGAAGAGAGATTTCCCTTCTAAATGTATCAAATGGTTTAACTGAGATGACTATTTAAAAAGTAAAACTTTGCATAACAAATTTCTATTGCTTAACTTTGCTTTATCTTCTTTCCTGTCCCATTTTCATGACCCTTCAGATTTATCTGTTGACCCTTGGGGGAGGATGCATTGGAACTTTTTCAACTGCAGAGGCTATCTGTAGGAGTAGGCCTTGAAAGACGAAGCAACAACTCACCCCCAGACATCTCCGTACTTGGCTTGGCACTCACGGTCAAAATTATCAATCCCCTACAAGACATTTCAGATAAATGTTTTAAAAAGTGTTAGAAGGTCAAAGGGCCACAGAGCTTCTAACAGTTACACTCATAATGTGCAGCGATAGGTCAGGCAATGAGCGCCAGGTAGGTTAATGAAGCTTCTGAATTATGTTTCTGTATATAAAGTGCATTTTATTGTCATCATGCTCACATGATAAACATCCTCATCTCTACTTTTCAGTCATCAAATCAATCAACTCCTTACATAGCAGTCTTTAAGATTTGTATTTACCTTTCTAAAGTGAAGAAGTGTTCCAAGAAAAGGCAAAGGCCTTGGTCCAGGTATTCCCAGCTTTTTGAAAAATCCAAAGGGCCAAATGCTGTACCTAAATTATATAAAAAGAAAGAGGCATATCTGTTACAAGAACAGGGATCAATATTTCAACAGTTTAAGGAAGAACTGTCACAGTCAATTAAGACAAAACTGACCAGCTAGCACAACTCTGACAAATTCACAGACTACTCACAGAAATAACAGCGTGACAAAGAGAGCCAGCAAAGTCCAGGTGGTTGGTGACAACAACGCAAAGACAGACATTTCGACTCTTCCGAGGGAGAACTGGAGACAAACTGCGTGAGAAATAAGGAAGTGGGTTGTAATAACAACAAGTGAACTTTAACTACACAGAAGTGGGAGGAGCCCAGAGTCTGGAGCGCCAATGAAGTCAATATGACAAACACAAAAGCGACTTTTTGGGGCTGGATGGGGCTGCAGGTATCGAGGGCTTCTGCTTAAGAGCAATGTTGTTGTTTAGTATAGTGAATCAGAAAACCAAACACTCGGTCTTGATTGATTACTCAGCCAATCACTCATGAACTCCACTGTTTACACCGATTTACGTGCATTAGAAAATAGAAACTACTTCATTCGCCAGATCCCGTCTGTTCCATTTATAGGACACCCCTCCTTTTTATTAATCATATAATTTCAGAATACTTAACTTATTTCTTAATTAGTTTGATTGAGAAAAAAAGGAGAAAAAAGAGCGAATGGATTTGAACGCGTCTGAGCCTTATCCTGCACCGTAGATAACCCGGATGTACAACTGCCGACCTCACCGGTGCTGCTCACATTTCCACAGTTTAGTGTTCTTAAACTGTGCAGTTCTACACGTTTTTTCATCCTGTCGTTGGAAAGTGAAGTTACATTTGTCATAGTAAGACGGCGAGGTAAGGAACAAGTATGTAGTATCATTTTATATGAGTATAAACAGAATAAAACGATGTCCTCTTTGAGCTGCCCTTGATCTGTAACGTTAGGCTAAAGCTAAGTTAGCTTCACACAGCACCATGCATACACACATTTTTATCACTAAGTAATTCTCGGTTATACTTCACGTGAGTGAATGAAAAACGGAGAGTGGACGATATAATGTCGACTGGCTGTTCCGTTCAACTCATTGATCAGTTTGAAGCTGTAGTTCTCGGTGCCGTTGACTTGTGTTCTCTTACCAATACTTGATAATAATAACCTGCGCCCCTTACTATTTTCATGATTAATCAAATCAGTTCAAAGGCTCATATGCAGAAATAAATAAGTTATCAGTGGGATGAAATTCTTTAAAAAATTTCCTGTCTCTCTATCCTGACGCCAGCAATTATTGTATAATAGAAACTTAGAACTTAAAAAGTATAAACAAATGAAATAGAGCTGAGTGGAACAGCAGAGTCGAGTGTTAAATGTCTGTGGGTTCATCACCTCGAGCAACGTCTGTCTCCTCCTTATAGTCGTGTGATTCCTTGTTAATAAAAAATATTGATTATTGCTGGTATACACAGTTTTTACTGTTACACTTTTGACTTTTTGTACAGTAACCCACCTAACCCCGGGGAGATAAAGTTGTTGATGTGATGTCATTGTCATGCACTGCTGTAAAATTGTCACAATCCATGACTCAACACCGTGCCAGAGGTAACCAATCAGTAACTTATTCAATGCCAGATATTCAGTTCAGTTCAGTTTTATTAGTCATACGGAGGGTCAGCAGTGCAATAAAATGTGTTGGACGAGAAAACAGGTCAGCTCAGCAGTAAGAGCACCAGTATGATAAAAAATATTAAATAAAGATGGGATTCATTCTCTATATAGGTTTGTAATTTGTCTAATGCAGCTTATCTGACTTGCTGCAAAAACAATTCCCACAACAGAGCAGAATATGACACACAGATTAACAAATGAGTCAAACTCCTCTCTGGTTGAAGTGAACAAATGAAAATGTTATGTAAGTGTTTACTATATGGCCAAGGCCAAATGATAATTTTTTACAGAGGTAAAACTCTTGATGATATTTATGATTTAATTGTGGTTTCGAATTACATCAGGCTGAATGATTGGCTTTACCTCTTTAATGTACTTTGTTTTTTTCATGACCTGAAGGTTTCTTAAAACCACTCCACTCCAACAATAATAGACTGTGATTCATCACCATTGTTGTTCCTCTTCTGTTTCTTTTGTTTTACACGTTCGTTGCACCTTTATTACGATAATAGTGCAGCCCCAGTTTATTTCTGTGAGATGTTTTAGCTTCTGGTCGCATATTTATCCAGCCTTGACTGCTTAATCCGATCCCTGTGGCCTTAGGGGTTTATGCCACATTCACGTCATATAGTTTAAACCATAATTAGGTGCAGCCGAGTGGGGAAAAACCATTCACGTCTGCCTTTAATTTGTAATTCTGACTGCTGCTGGCAGTTACATCAAATACAATTCAATATGAAAACTAATACAATCTATTCAGCTCATTTTACAGGTGTTTGAATCTGGTGTCACTTGGTAAAAAACTGCTGAAAAGTAGCTAGTTAAGGTCATTTCATCAGGTTTGATTACAATGTTAGCACTTGGGGTAACCACCTTGGAATAATCTGTGAGCATCGGTATAACAGGTGTTTTTCCTGTTTTCCCATTGTGTTACCATGAACAACAAATTCTAAATCTCTTTTTTTCCTTTCATTTCCACACTTTAAAAAGGCAGAAAATGTCCCAAAATATAAAATAGGAACTTTAGCCCGCAAAACTGTGAGGCTTTTACATTTGATAGGGGGGATTCGCCTCTCACACAAGATCAACGACAGAGGTCAGTGACATTAAAATGTTTAAGAAGAATAAAGCGGTATAATTACAATTTGTGGAATATTGTCTGAGTTTATGCTGACAAACCTGCCCAAATTATTTCTTTCGCTCACCTCTTTTTGCCACAGTGTGTGGAAATTACATCTGACCACATTGCTAGTCTGCCTACACCTTTATTAATATGTGGACTGTACACATTTAACCTGAGCAGAGGTCCAGTCAGTCAGTAAACATAAAACAATGAGTAGATGTTCTGGCTCTTTAATAGGGCTTTTTCATGTAATATGTTTGTCACGGTAGGAAAAGCAGGAGTGTAAGGTCGTGGCTTACTGAGTCACTTAATAGAATCATTAATGTTTTTAGTAACACCTCTGCTTTTTCTACTATGACAAGTCAAAAGTTCATCAGTTAAAAATAACTATTATACTGTGCTGTTGTTATAGTGATATAATTTGTTCACAATAGCTGTATTAAAAACCTATTTCTGTTCTCATCTTGTTGCCTCTGTTTTGCATTTTCAGAAAGAATTAGCCACCATGTTCCTCACCCTCACCCTGCTGCGGAAAGGCATCTCTGGGAAGCAGTGGATCGGAAAGTATCGGCGTCCACGAGAGATCACATGGCAGATGAACCGCAATACGCTGAAGCGTCTGGAGCGCGAGGCTGAGAACGAGTACTGGATCAGCCGCCCGTACATGACTCCGGAGCAGGAGTACTGCCACGCTGCAGAACGCAGGGCCCAGAACTGGCTCAAGATCAAGGAGACCAAATTTGCCAATTTTCCCCAACACAAGCACGTGACGGATCACCTGAGTCATCTCAAAATCAGCAAGACGTGGTCGAGTTAATGTGAGCAGTGAACATGCAAAGACTGTCCTAATAACAGGACAATATAACATATTGATGTGTGCTGTTTTGGTATTATCCTAAAGCGGACTCTGTATATTAGCTGAAAAGCTACCATGTAAAGTTGTCACCCAAGTCCATGATAGCCTATTTAAACTTCGTTTTTCCCCATAAACCAAATCTGTAAACTGTCTGTTTGTGGTTTTCTATCACACAAACTGAATCTGCACTGCAACAGGACAGTTTCTCCACATTCAATGCAGCTCCTTCAGATAATCAGCTCTACACCTGACTGAGGGATTTTTTTCCCCCAGCTTATTAACAGAAACACTTTTAAGTTAATAAAATCAGGCTCCACACTGGTTATAAAATCTGTATAACTATATAAACTGCTGAAGTGTATTCCATGAGGCAAAGGTTAGAGGAATTGTATCAATTGTTTTGGGAGGTTGGGGCATATTGATGGAATTTTACAAAGGGTTAATTTCACTGTAAAACACCATAATGCATTCTGCCGTTTTACATTTCGTGTATTAAAAGGCTGAGACTGTCAGTCAGCCTGAACACTGTACAGCTGAAATTAGTGTTTAATCCTTTTTGAGCCTTTGAAGTAAGAAAAACCAGAAGGAATACATTTCCAGGGAAATGGTCTCACTCCCTTCGTGGATTCTGTTTGACCCTGCTGTAATTTAGTAATGTTTTTCAGTATTGAAAAATAGGCTGTGCTGTCATTATAAAACCTGTTAGTCAGTGGCTAGATTACAGAGAATCTGGGGCTCTCTGGTGACTCAGTGATGGGCTTTGTGCAGGAGTTTGACCCTCTATGAAACCTCAGTTTGCAGCTGCAGTCTGGTGACATGCAAGATACTTTACTGATGTTATTGCCATCATATAAGCTTTTATCATCAACAATAATGCAGATCTAAAGGAAGAGCCAGTGGGGAATCATTATCATAGCCTCCTACACCTGCTTTTCATAACCTTTTAAGGGTCCTATGAAGACAATTTATATTACTATAGCAGTGTTTTAATATATTGTCATTCATGAACTGTTCATACTGCAGCCTCCATTTGCAGGTGTCCGCAGGAAGGAACTTGTAACTGTTGACAAATCATAAATATTATAATGGGGGGGGGGGGGTCTAACCAGAGATTATTGAAGGAACTGATGTGGTGTGGTTTCCTCTTCTTTCCATCGTGTGCACTAGGTGGAAAGACAACAGCATGGTTCAGCTATTTCCAACCTTTTCAACTGGTTTGGCATAAAACAAGGATATTCAGTGCTTCTCTGCAGCACACAGAGATCTGCTGGTTTCCATAGCAGCCATCAATGTGATTTACACCTGAGACTACAGGTGAAACCAAACTGAGAGGAGAGACAAGCAGCAGTCCTCTGGGCTCCAGAGAAACCACAGGTGTGAGGAAACCTTTCATGACATTTTTTTTTTTTTTTTTTTTTTATTTTTTTTTTTTTTTTTTTTTTTTAAAATTTTTTTTTTTTTTTTTTTTTTTAACTTAGTCTGTTTTTGTACTGTCTGTTCCATTTTGATGGGGATGTTTTCACCAGAAGCATTATTTGAGCTCAGTGTTAGTATGAGCACTGCAGGGTCCAAAATAATTGAACAGGATTAATGAGCTGGTGGGAAATTTCTGTCTTTGAAAGGGCTGATTCTACTGCAGGAATCAAAGGGAAAAAATCCACATGGCGCAGTATTACTGCTCCTTTGGGACACCCATCTCAAGAACCTGACTGTAAGAGATTAATCCTCAAAAAACGAACTAACCACAAGCCTCCTGGGTCAACTGCAGGAAGCTTTCCCTCCTCTCAGTTTGGTAACATACTTTAACACAGTTCACTGTTTTAGGCATTGTAAGAAAAGTGAGGATGCTTTCAAAAATAACCATTTATCAAACAAGCAAGCTCAGACATCCGAAATGTGAGAAGGGGCCCCAGCTGTTTTCTTTGTCAAGGGTCTTTAATTTAATCTTTGAAGTTCCCTTTGGAAATGTAATGGAGTAGCAGTGGTGGAACAAGTCAAATCTTAATAGCAGTACCACATTGCAGAAATACTCTAATAGAAAAGTAAAGTCAAGCGTTTAAAATTTTACTATATGACTTTTAAAGCAAATGTGCAAAAAATATTAGCACTAAAAAAGAAGTATAAAAGAGATACTTGCAAAAACTTGAATCTGCAAAGCAGGTAAAGTTATCAAATAAAAATATAGTGGCGTAAAAGTATGAAATAGTAGAAAAGGAAATTACTCAAATAAAATACCTCAATTTCTTCTTACCTAAATAAAGTACTTGAGTAACCAACGCACTGAATTGTCAGAGCACACGTCATTCTGTCCAGCAGATGGAGCTCCAGGTCCTGGCAGTGATGACTGTGGAGGAGCAGGGGAGCAGAACCACGGCCCCTCCTGTGCGCTGCGCCCAGGCGTTGTTTTCCTCTGCTGGACGATGAGATGAGGTGCGTAAAGAGGCGCCAACGCACCGCACCGCACCGCACCGGGTTGAGGAGGCAGCTAATGAGCAGACCAGACAGACAGCCCCTGTCCAAGAGATCCACGCAGCGTCTCAGAGCCGCGGAGACCATGAAGACGAACGGCAGACTGAGGAGTAAAGATTCACCTGCAGACTGAGTGAAGAGGCAGGATGGCGGGGGGTCGGAGGGGACTTGTGGCCCCTCAGAATACTTTTTTGGAGAATATTGTGAGACGGTCGAACGGTAAGGAGGAGGGTCCATATGCTATACCGATTTAGGATTTAAACATTATATCAAAACCCAGCCTGTTGTAGAAACTAGGCACGTTATAAACTAGGCACATAATTACTATAACAGCCTGTCTAATCAAACCTGTCAACCAATTAACGAAATTAACAAATGAACGAGGCTAATTGATGATAGAAAGTTTTTTTCCCCCATTGAGCTACGAGCAAGAAAAAAAAAAGCTGCAGTGTTAAAACATCTGGTTTTAGAATCTCACGATTAATGTAAATCACATTAAATGAATTAGTATGTTAATTCTTTTGTGACAAAGCTGTTCTGAATTGGGACTACATGCAGGAGTGTGAAAAAGGCAGCAGCCAGGTTATGACAATCATTAAATGTACTACTGATTACATAACACTACTGGAAGTCTTAATTCAAAAATGATATGAACTAGAAATGTCTAGCCTGGATACTGATTTCTTTATGCGAACGCAATTAAAGTATAAGTATAGTATTAACTCATTTCCATAAACATGTAAACGTGCAGAGCTGTGTCAGAGATCAGTACGATCTCCTGTGAAAGCGCACTAATGCCTCCCATATTGTTCACCACGATTCCCCTCTAAGCTACAGATAGGCTTGAAATTAAATAATTAAACTTTGGTTGCTAAAGTCTTTTAGAGCCTCATATTAACCAACAGAATCTGGATCAATGCTGTAGGCTATTAGAAACCTCAGGCTCTGCCCAATTAAGACTGCTGCATAGGCTACATTTCTTTTTGCATTTTTAATTTTGTGGATAAAAATGTCACTGAAACATTAAGACCTAAAAAACTTAAAAATGGAAATCAAAATATATGAAATAGTACAGTAGGAGAGATTAAGTTCCTCCTCTAAAATATAGATTTGTCAAAAAAAAAAGTCTGGTCTATAACTTCTGTTACTAGCCAATTAGTGCACAGTATGCTGTCAAGATGTGAAAACAATTAACTACATATGAAAGCTGAAACTCATCAAACTCTGATAGAAGTCTTATAGTATTCTTGGACACGGGTGTCAGTAACCCTCTGGCTTTTCTGGAGTATTAGATCCAATAGGAAGTGACAAGACAGACTGGGGAGTTATGACACCAGACAGCTAGCTGTGAAACAGAACCAGCGGGGTTGTGTGCATGCCTGTCACCAGCCACATTTGGGGACACCAGTTAATTGGCTTGAGGCACAATGACTTCTTTTTTGAATGGGGGTTGGTTGAAGTAAGGTTTGGGTGTTTTTTCTATCATTTATGGTCAGTGCCCCCAGAAGTATGCCAAACCAACCTGTGTATGTGTATGTAGGCCTACTTCTAAGGCCTCCCTGTCAGTTGCGCCCCTGTTGCACATATCTACGTTAAAATTTGTTATGACAGAAAGGAACAACTTGTTCAGAAAGGGTGCACGCATCTCTCCAGAACAAGGTTTTCTTTAGATGAACAGTGTGATATTTGGCTCCTTAAGGTGTTGCTATATGTTTTTTAAAAAATCACAAAAAAAATCCACCCTTTAAAAACAGAAGGACAGGCACATGTCTTATCCATGCGTGTTTTTCTTACGACCTTGGGCAGTCCATGGATTAGCAAATAGTAAATCTAGAAACAAAAGAGCCTAGACTATAATCTGCAGGATGCCACTGAGAAACAGTGGAGTGACATGTGAGAGACACAGTGGTGGGTGGGCGTTCATAAACAATGACACACTCCTTTTATGTAACTTCCAGTCATTCATTAAATATACAGCCCTGTGCTACAATTTAATGAGTATTTCAGATTTTCATGTTCATGTCCAGTAGTTCACCACGTAAATATAACTCTTTAAATACAAGGAATAACGTGCAGAAGTCTGCTTTTAAGTAACATACTTTTTCTCATCTGCTTTAAAACCTCAGCAGACATTTTCACTTGTCGTGGCAGGTAAAGCACAGGTGAGACTAATCACATCCTAATTAAGTCTCTTACCAGTGAGGCAGCGTGCACATTAGCAGGGACCTAGAGGTGGAACGTCTGAAAGAAATTAAGCTAGCATGTAAAATATGGATGTTTTCAGGTGAGTTCTTGGCCATATACTTATTTTTTTCAGAGGGTCGCAAAAATTAAGCAAGGTATATCCTAAGAAGCTATACTCTAAAGTTTATTCAACCGTTCAAGTGTTGAGCGGTGAGGAGCAGCGAGGAAATGCAGGAGGCTAAAGCGCAGCTAATCTTGCTAGTGAAGAGACTGCTAGCATGAAAAACATACAGTATATTTTAAAATATATTTTTAAAAGCTTAGTTAAACTCTTCAACCTGCAATACCATTTTTTTGGCTACTTGGGAGCAATAGAAACTGCACAACATTGACTTATTACAGCTTATATTTATATGGCTAACTGGTTAGCAATTCCTTTTAACACGTTCAGCTGATATACAGTATAGCTACATAATTATGTTTGTATGACAGACAGTGA